AGAATGTATGACTTTGAATCTATGTTCCTAAAAAGATGAAAACATTGTCTTTTATTTATGTCATATCCTGTCTAATAAATTATAATCATCTGGAGCATAGTAGTTGATGTATTAATTTATTTTTCATTTTTGTATCCTTGCCACCTTACACATAGTAAATGCTTAATAAATATTTCTTAGCATCATAGAATTAGAGCTGGTAGGGACAATAGATGCTTTCAAATCTAACCCCTTCATTTTACGGATGAGGAAATTGAGATTGAGAGATGTTAAGCAACTCATCTATGGTTACACAGCTAACAGGTATCTGAAGTGATATTTGAGCTCTGACCTTCCTGACTTCAAGCCCTACACTTTCTCCACTGTGACTCTTACCTGCCTCATATGTATTTAATATTTTCCCAATTTTTTTTGAATTTTACCTAAAATGCGCTTAACAAATACGAGTTGGATTGAATAATGGGGAGCACTGAAGTTGTTTGTTTGAAAATTCTAGGCTCTCCCATGCTAGCTGCTAGGTGTGTACCTCTTAAGTCTATAATTAGTATGGTTCTCTGTAGCATCAGTGACCTGTCTCTAGCTCTCTCAATACGGGGAAGATTGTGATCCTTATTTCTCTGAAAAAGAATTTGGAAAGTTTCCCAGGTCATACATTGCATAAGCTTAAGGCAGTGTAGTGATAATTAATAAAGTGTCAGACTATATAATTGCAGGAGCTGTAAAAGATACTAAAATGTTGTTACTGAGGGACAAACATACTTGTGAAGGTGTGAAGTTAATGCATGCTAGGAACATCACATGGAGAAATATGGGGGAGAGGTGAGATTTCCTTTATATTATCAAATTTAGCTCTGCACTAATTTTAACTGGTGAGAAAAAGCAGCATCTAGGAAGCAGAGCTCTCTCCTGGGTTCTACTGTGAAGATGACTTCTTGTGACCTTGGGGAAAGTGCGGATTCTATGGTAGTCAATTCTTCTGTTTCCCTAGAACAGATGTCTTAAAATTGGCCTCATATATGGAATCTAAGTAAATTAACCTGTGGGTGCTGTTAACAAACATTACTTCAGTTAAATATGTGTCTCTGTGTTTCTACTAGTCCCCAAGGAAGTAATTACTAACTTACCAGAGTTTTGCCTATTTTTCTTTCTTTTTAGTTTCTTGAGATAACAATTTACATTACAAAGAGTCCTAAAAGTGGAGTGTAGGACCCAACTTTTAATCACAGTTCTGCTACTTGTGACCATGCACGTGTCCCTGAACTTCACCAGATCTTAATTTCCATGTCTGTAGAATGAGGCATTTGGAATAATTAAACTCTAGGTGTGAATCTTTAAACCTTTGATTCTGTGAATATCTTCTAATATCTCTACACCTGCTTTACTTGTTTATGCTTCTAAATCACTTTTTCATGTGCATTTATTTTGTTTACCACACAACAGACTGTTGGTTGCACAAGAACAATCTGGTTTCATTAGATATCTATCCATAGCATCTTGACCACTGATCCTCATCCTGCTTCTTTGTCAAACTGACTTTGGGATTCACTTGATAAAAATTCACTGTCATTGATCTTTTTAATATTTTCTTATTGTTTGGAACCTTTTAACCACTTCCTTATAGAGGTCCTGGTTTCCATGATTATTCTGTGGGATTTGTAGGCCCTTTCTTTGTAACACATCAGATTTTATAAGGGAGTAGTAGTTAAACTCTTAGATTTGGGACTTTTTTATTTCTTTCTCTATGTCTGGTAATTATTCTCCTGCATTTAGGAGATGAAGGGGAACAAATATTCTAACTTTTGATGTTGGTCATTCTTATATACTGTTATCTCCATCCCTAATATGATAAGTAAAAGTCTTAGCTGTGCAAACATATTTAAGTATCATCTTCTATTGCATACAATGCCACAAAGGAAATAGTTTCATTTCTTTTCTTTTTAAACTTACATGATCAGGGAAACATATTTGTTCCATCTCTCTTCAGATATGAACTGAATAATATAAATATATTCCTTCAGGCTAACCATAGCTCTCAATCAGATCTGTCAAATTGTTTTTTGTTTGTTTCTTCCTTTGTGTGTTTTTGCTAGGCAATGGGGTTAAGTGATTTGCCCAGGGTCACACAGCTAGTAAGTGTCTGATCTGAGACTGGATTTGAACTCAGGCCCTTCTGACTCCAGGGCTTGTGCTCTATTTGCTGCACCACTTAACTACCCCTGTCAAGTTGTTTTTGATGTCAATAGCATTCATTGATTAACTTCCAGGTCCAATTTCATTCAGGTACCATGAGTTTTTTTTTCCAATCATTCCCCCAACATTAGATACACGATTCAGTTTTTCATTTCATTTTGATTTTCATCAGAAATTTTGTGGCTTTTAAAGAGAGATTCTTTCAGCTTGTTATTTACCCTCTGGTTCAAGTATATCAGGGCAGTTTTCCTTGATAATTTCTTGAATGATGATGTTTAGGCTCTTTTTTTATCATGGCTTTCAGCTAATCCAATAGTTTTTTACTTTATTTTTCTTGAGTTTTTTTTTTTGTCTATGTTTTTTCTTTTACAACATGACTATTATGGAAGTGTTTTGCATGACTACACATCTATAACCTATATCTAATTGCTTGCCTTCTCAATGGGAGGGTGGGGAGGAAGGAAGGAAAAGAATTTGGAACTCAAAGTTTTAAAAAAAATGTTAAAAATTATTTTTACATGTAACTTCACATGTAAGTATTTGAAGATTGGTAACATGTAAAATGCTAAATATTTTTAAAAAAGAAAAAATAGATTGGGCTAATTATTAAGCATTTACTATATGCCTAGCACTTGCTAAGCACTGGGGATACAAAGAAAGTTATGAGAAACGCCCTGCCCTCAAGGAAATCACAAACTAATGAGGGAAAACAAAAAATAAAAAAAAGTCTAAGGGTGGGGAAAGATTATTCTATATCTAGGCATGATGAAGTCATGCAACCAGGTGGGAAATAAACTGAGGAGGTGTAAGTTTCTTAGTTGATGTTTTGTTGCCGATTCATGAATTTCAAGAAACAATAAAGTAAGTGGTGAAAGGGATAAGAGAAGGGGATGTGTGATAGAAGGGATGGGATGGTAGATTGGGTAGGTGGTAGTTAGAAGTAAAACACTTTTGAAGAAGGACAGGGTAAAAGGAGAGACAGAATAGAATAGAAGGGGGTATTAAGATGGAAGGGAATACAGTTAGCAATTGTAACTGTGAAAAAAATGAAGCATGCTTCTTTGATAAAAGCCTCATTTTTCAAACATATAGAGAACAGAGTCAAATTCATAAAAAAATGAGAGTCATCCCCCAATTGATAAATTATCAAAAGATATGAACAGTTTTCAGATGAAGTAATCAAAGCTATCTATACTCATATGGAAAATACTCTAACTCATTATGGATTAGAGAAATGCAAATCAAAACATTTCTGAGGTACTACCTCATACCTATTAGATTGGCCAATAGGACATAAGAGGGAAATGACAAATGTTGGATGGGATGTGGGAAAAATGAGAGATTAGAGCACTGTTGTCATAGTTGTGAACTGATTCAATCATTCAACAAGAGCAATTTGGAACTATGCCCCCCCAAAAAACATCCATACCCTTTGACCTAGCAATAACACTACTAGATCTGTATCCCAAAAGCGATGAAAAAAGAGAAAAGTACCTATACATACAAAAATATTTATAGCAGCTCTTTTTGGGGGGCAAAGAACTAAATGTTGAGAGGATGACCATCAATTGGGGAATGGCTGAACAAATTGTGGTATGTGATTATGATGGAATACTATTGTACTGTAAGAAGTGATGAGCAAGATGCTCTCAGAAAAACCTGGAAAGTCTTACATGGGCTGATGCAAAGTGAAATGTACTGTGTACAGAGTAACAACAATATTGTAGTATGATCAACTGTGAATAACTTAACTATTCTCAGCAATACAATGATCCAAGACAACTCTGAAGGAGTTATGATGAAAAATGATATACATCCCCAGACAAAGAACTGATGGTGTCTGAATGTAGATTGAAGTATGATTTTATTTTTACTTTATTTTTCTTGAGTATTTTTTGTCTATATTTTCTTTCACAACATGGTTATTATGGAAGTGTTTTGCATGACTACACATCTATAACCTGTATCTAATTGCTTGCCTTCTCAATGGGAGGGTGGGGAGGAAGGAAGGGAAAGAATTTGGAACTCAAAGTTTTAAAAAAAAATGTTAAAAATTATTTTTACATGTAACTTCACATGTAAGCATGTGAAGATTGGCAACATGTAAAATGCTAAATATTTTTTAAAAAAGAAAAAATAGGTTGGGCTAATTATTAAGCATTTGCTATATGCCTAGCACTTTGCTAAGCTCTGGGGATACAAAGAAAGTTATGAGAAAGGCCCTGCCCTCAAGGAAATCACAATCTAATGAGGGAAAACAAAAAATAAAAAGAATGTCTAAGGGTGGGGAAAGGTTATTCTATATCTAGGCATGATGAAGTCATGCAACCAGGTGGAAAATAAACTGAAGAGGTGTAAGTTTCTTAGTTGATGTTCCATTGCAGATTCATGAATTTCAAGAAACAATAAAGTACAGGGAACTTGCTTGGATGGGGTATGAGAATTTTTTCATAACTATTATTTTTATAGCCTTTTAAGATTTGCAATATGCTGTACATGTTATCTCATTGGATGCTTATTAAAATCTATTAATTAGGTACAATTACCATCCCAGTTTTATTGATGAGTAAACTGAGACTAAGAGAGAGTAAGTTACTTGACTAGGGTTATACAGCTACTAAGTGTCTGAGGGAGGGACTTTAATTCTGATTTTCCTGACTCCATGTTCATTAATCTTTTCCATCTACTTCAACACCTAGCAGAAGAGAGAGGAAGAAGGAGAGAGAGAAAGAATATCAGTTATTTTCTTATTGATATTAATGCACGCAAATTCAAACCAATATTTCTTACATTTTCTTATTTTTCTTTAGGTAACCTTCAAAGCATCAAGACACTCTGTTTCACCAGACTTAAGATTTGTTCTTCTGGCTTATGATGTGAAACAAGTAAGTAAATTATCAATTCTAGTTGTATCATCCATTTTATTTGCAAAGAGTTTGCAATAAAGGTTGTTTTTTTTTTTATTTTTTAGTCTAGAAGTGTTGTGGTTGGTTGTTCATTACTTGCCAGTGGTATAGTCAATGGTCAATTTGACAGTAGATTCTGGAAATAGGAGATTTAACATTCGGATGTTGCATTTGTTCAGTGTGGAGGAAATGAAGGCCTGAACAAGGGAGGCTGTAGGCAGCTTGGTAAATAAGCGATGTTTCTAAGAGATACAATAGGTGTAAAATGAAGAGAAAGCATGAGAAAAGAGAAAAGAAGTGGCTACAGGCAACTCCAAGGTTAAGCTTTTGTTGACAATGTAAAAGTTCATGAAAGACATTAATCAAATATATTCAGTTATTTGGGAAGGTAAATAAAGTGTTATAAGAAGTGAAAGTGTTTGGGTGTATGTATTTATTTTATTAAATCAGTTGTATTAAGTAGTAAGAAAAGCCAAATATCAGACTATGCATGAATTTTGCTCTCCTCTCAAAAATGAATATTAGTACTTTATTCTTACATTTTATTTTGATATGCTTAATTTTTGTTCAACATGAAAAAATGTTGAAGATAAACTTATATCTTAATGAACTCTCTGGTAATTGGAGTAATCTGCTGAATTTTAACTTTAATGATTCAATTGTCAGTTTCTAAAAGTAGATAATGGGACAAAACTAGATAAATAGCACTTTTCAAAATAGTTTAGGAACAGCTTATTTGTTTGCTCTCTGTCCGAATGAGAATGGGATTTCTGTTAACTCTCAATAATTGTTCTATGTCAGAGTTGTCCCCTCTAAGCTACTGTGTAGCTGGAGAAGTACATAATTTTTTAATGTTCTTTCTAGGCTTTCTTTTTGTTTGTTTTTGTAATATGACATCTTTTCCAAAGTTGTATAGGTATCAGGTATAATTAGTTAAAACAGGAAGAAAAAGAACTAGACAGTCAACCACACCTTGTTTTTTAAGCTAACTATATATGATGGCAATCCGAAATCATTTGCTTTAGTAGCACAGTGATTTTTATGAACAAAGAAAAGGATTTCTATCCCTAGCTCTCTGTGAAGTTGACTTGTTGATTGTGAGATATGCTAGTTGTTCCTCCCGGAGAACCTCATTAAGGGGTTCCCACCCTGCATCTGAGATTGAACTGTACCTTTCATCCTATTTTGAAGTGCACTTGATAATTTAAATTTGTCTTTGATTGAAGAATGAAGAACTACAAATCTTAGACTAATTTGGTTTAGATATTTATACAGAGTGTATTTAGATCATTTACTGGTATATTCAAGATTAAAAAAAAGTCTTTTGGCACTTATCTTTCTTATGCTGATGTTTATAATTCTTTGAGGAAATTCAGAAATTAATATTATATCATTCATATGTCCTATTTTGTATCTATTACAAAAACAAGGGTTCTTCCCAAATGGATAATATTTTAGGGGTTATATAATCAATATATATTTCTTCATTAATTGATCTGATCTAATTATAGTATACATAGTTGGCCACTTCTATCATTTGTCTCTTCATAACAAGACTTATTAACTGTATATACAAAAACCAGATAGCCCATGGATACATTTTAGTGGGTTTGTGAAATTGGATGGGAAAAAACACATTTCTATTTTTACTAACATCTAAACAAAATTTGACATTGTTTTTAATTATTTAAAACAGTATTTAAAACAGTAAAACAGTGCATAAGCTTTATAGATTTTAAAGAAACTTAATGGCTTAATAAGTGGTCTCTATTAGTTATTTTTATTGAAATAAAATGATAAATGATTGCCAACTTTATAGTTCTGGATCTCTGAGAATTTTATTTGAATAGTCATTTCTGACCAGCCTTTCTAGCTTTTAGGGGCTTGCTTCTATTTTATTGTTAAACCTTTACAAACCCAGGGTCATCTCTGTATCACAATTAGGCATTACAGGGTAATTTTCAAGAGGAAGTTAGTATGTATTTTTTATATTGATATACATGTTTCACCCCCTTGAGTGTTATATTAGATGTAACATGCTAATTCATGAAGCATTCCATTTTAAGAAATCTTTATGTTAGACCTCCACCTGGACTTTGTACCATAATCTTTCAGAAATTGCTGACAGCCACTGAGCAATCTCATTTTTCAATACTTTGAGTGCCCTAGGATATAATCCAACAAGTATTCAATTCAATAACTATATACTATTTCCAATACCATTTATTAGGGGGTGAGCAGTCAAAGACAAAATGGAAAAGTTTTTTTTTTCTCAATAAACTTACATTCTATTGAGTACAATACAAAATATTACATAAAACGGCCAAAAAGTAATATGTGATTTGAAGAGAGAAAATGAACAACTAATAGAATCATGGAAAACTTATAGGAAGTTACACTGGAGGTAAAACTGGAAGGAAGCTAGGGATTATGTGAAGCAGAGAAATGGAGGAAGTACATTTGAGGGTGCAAGTCAGTCTGTTTCAAAACATGGACATAGAAAATAAAATACTGAGTTCAGGAAAAACCAATGATGCCAGTATGGTTGATGTGAAGATCAGTAAATTGAACTCATCAGAAGAATCTAGGTGTTCTCTTACACTTTAACTATTTAGGCACAGTGGATAGAGCACCACCCCTGGAGTCAGGAAGACCTGAGTTCAAATCTAGTCTCAGACCAGATATTTGACACTTAATAGCTGTGTGACCCTGAGCAAGTCACTTAATCCCAATTGCCTAATAATAATAATTTAACTATTTAATTCTTATTGCAGTAAAAGGAAACAAAATATGAATTTGTGAACCTTAGATTTCTGAGTATTTGCTATCACTCATCCAAGAGGTTATCCATCAGCTCCTATTGTATCTCTTCATTGATACTCTTCTTTCTGCCCACATAGTTAACAACCTCACCAAAAAATTATCCCAGATAAATAGGTATCAACTATTTTTTCCTTAATTTCATCTTTGGCATTTCCCTCGCCACACTGCTAATGTCATACTCCATTAGCTATTCTAGCTTCCATCTCTTAAACATGCTTTCAAAAAAATCTAGTTGTTTTGTGAATCCTCTGGTAGCAATATAGTTCTCTTGACAATTCTTTTTCTGCTCACCTGTACTGTTTCTCTTTGTGTCTTTAGAAATTTCACTCTTGATAAGTCTTCATCTTTCCTGGGCTGATTTTATTTTGAATTTCACATAAGATATTCTTAATAAATATTCATTGAATTGAATAATGGGGAATATTAAATTATAATCCTTAGGATGACTTAAAGTGAGAAAGCCCTGAGTTCAAATTTTGCCTCAGCTACTTACTAACTGGGTCACTATGAGCCTCAATTTCATTATCTAAAAAAATAGGTCAATTAAAATACCAAATTGACAAAGTTTTTGTGGAAACCTAATTATGTATCATATGGAAAATGTTTAACAAACCATAAAATATTATATACATTTGAGCTATTATTGTTATCTTTCTTTGAATTCTTTGAAATTTATTCTGCCTAAATCTAGGGTACATGTCAGTTTATAGTATGCTATTTTTTTCCACTTCTCTATAACAAAATGTAACATGGAGTAATTTTACTTTCCCCTAAGGAACTTACATTTTTTACTCCATAACTATGATGACATAGTGAGGTAAGCACTAGCTTCAGAGGAAGGTCCAATTAGTTTCAAGTCCTAACTCTGAAGCACATCGGTGGTATGAGTTAGGATAAGTCATTTAACCTGAAGTTCAGACCAGGAGTACTGGAAAATTAAGTCATATTTGGAAGCTGAAGGAGTTTAATTCTCTGTTAATTTTTCTCATCTGTAAAATGAAGAGGCTGGATTCGGTGATCTCTAAAGTCCCTTGCAGTATTAAATTTCTGACCCTATCCCTGTCAGTACCTCCATGCAATACTTTAATTCTATAACTCCAAAAAGACTTTCTCATCATCATTGGTGAAGGACATTTCCAAATTTAGATCACCCCTCCTCAATTAAATAAGAAGTCTGTGAAAAACAACAAAAATAACAGTGATTACTACTTTTTGATGAGAAACAGATTCCAAATAGAAATTCCTCTCATTAATTCTTATGAGGACCAAGTGAGATAATGTGTATTAAGAACTAACTACACTTATGAAGCACTGTATGAGTATAAATTGCAGTTGATATTATTTTTAAAAAAGGCTTCATATTGCCATTTGGGGAAATGCAAATTATATTATAGGAAGAGTCACACATTACCACTTTGGGAAAGGCATGCAGATGTCCTGAGTCACTGATCTTATTTATATGTCTTTTTCTTTTCTCCTACAAACTCAGGCATCTTTTTTCATCTTTCAGCTCCTTTGTCTAACCCCTTCAGACACTCTGCATCTTCAGAGGCAAAAAGAGACAATAAATCAATAGGCTTTCTAACACTGGAAAACAAGCCAAGAAGTTGTTCCTTGTCTTTCATTGAGTAGGACAAGATTTCTAGCAGATGTCTGAATAATTAAATTGAACCCCAATACTTATTATGCCATGTTGTTCTAAAACCTCATCTTTTTTTAAAATCTTTATTTCAACTCATCTTCATATCTACTTTACATGCACTAGTCTACTCAGATGATGATATGACTTCTCTTTCTTTCTCTGATGATTTCCATACGGATACTTTCTAACATATTTTTCCTCTTCCTTGTTATTAGATTTCTTTATATTCTTACAACTTGTTAATATTCAATGCTCTCTACATCTTGTAACTACATCTCCTATACCTGCCCTCTTTAGCTATCCCGTTTCTTTTGAATAACTACCACCTCTCACAACTACATTTTAGTCATGGACCTCAAACTATCAATATCAGTAATAAAAAAAAAAACCTTTGCCACAAATTTGTCTTTTAATTGTCAGGATCTGTACTACATTTTGTGTTTGTCTTAGGATTTCCAAACCCCTTTGTGCATTCTTACATGAAACATAATTGAATAAATTTTATTGCTTGCTT